CCCCAAAACCCCAAAACCCCAAAACCCCATGCAGTCGAAATCATTTGAATTTATGAAATTAAGATTTCCAAATTATGATCAAAATAATGCATTTGATTATTCAATTTATTTCTTATTGGCTTTATTTCCCCTGTTTTTCTTCATAAATCACTTGCCACTTGAAATTCGATTTCTTATATCTTTTGTTGATAGAATTTATCAGTTTCTACGATTTCTTTCTTTATCATATCTATGAGGTCCTAATTACTTTCTGCTTGCTCTGTCAAGGAATTTATGAGAGCTAAACTAGATTTTTCTTCTTTTATAAGTTTTGCTTCTAACTTTTTTGTTTTTTCATCCATATTGTGCCAGAGATAAGTTTATTCCAGCACTTTGAATTGCTGCTAGAACTCTTAATTCTCCTCATCATTGGTTACACTAATCTTAAATTTAATCTCTTTGTGAAGCGTGCACTCTTTAATCTGTTTCTTAATTTCATCCTTCTCTTTATCAATAATTTCTTGCAAATTATCAATGGAGTGGACTAAATTTTCATTATATTAACCGACTCCGATAATAGGGCCGTTAATTCCCATGTTTAAATTTGCTTTTTCAATATCTAATGATTAAGATTTCTAATCTTAGATTTTTTTCAATTATTTTATCTTCCTCCTATCTCTTTTTATGTAATCATCATCTTTTTTATCAACCTATAAAAGATCCCCTTTCAGAGTAAAAGGATAGTCTTCATTTTTACCATTCAAGTCCTTTAATAACTCCTTTTACTTTAGCCTTTCATCTTTTTTAAGTTAGATGTAATACTAGTTAACTTCTTTAATTTAAGGATATTTCTTGTAATACGAACAAAGCATAGTGTATTCACTTATATTTTACATAACTTAAAGTTCGAAGAAGTTTTCAGAGAGTACCTATACAGCTTTATCCATTTTTCTCTCACATTCCTTTCTAACTCTTTTATAATTAATCTGATCAATACAATTAAAGATCTCCATTTAGCTTGAATGAAAGCCCTTACATCTCAGAAGAAATAGATTTCTCTTGAATTTTTCTATAATATTTTACTTCAGCTAGGATCTAGTATCCTCATTCATAATATCCACTTCAAGCATCTGGCTTTCTTTGTTTATCTACTTTAGCAACTAATAATCATAAATGTTTACATGATGGTAGTTTTCCTTCTAATCCTTTAATTCTTCTATTATTCTTTGTTTTGTTTTCATATAATTCTCTTTTATCTTCTGAGACTTTATGATATCTGTTATGCTCTTATAAATCATTCTACCAAAGTCATACTTATTTCCTTCATCACCATAAACTGCTCCGATTGAGTCATTAATGTTTTGTAGAATCTCGCTTCTAAGACTTAACTTGTGATAGTCTTAATAATCTAGCTACAGTAGATCTGTCTCTTCTTCTGCTCTGAACAAGAATATTGATTCTTTTTGTAAGATGAAATGAGTAACATTGAAGTGAGATCCTTCGCTTAACGTACAGAGTCTCTAATAGTTAGATTTGTTGAATTCATCACAGTTTTAGTAGTCATAGATATCTCCAATAAAGACATAAACACCAACTCTGCCCTTCATTACAAAGAAGGCATAATCTGCTACTTCTCCCATTCTAAGAATATAAGAATGTTTCAGATACTTCCTTTCACTTAGTTTGAAAATTATACTTTTAACAACATGATTTGGAATGATTCTAAAGGCCCCTACATTTCTTATCATTGTAGTTATGAACTTGAAAAAGTTATCTTTGTACAAATTCATTCGTTACATCAACCTACTCTTAAAATCAGCATTTGCTAAAATTAGATCTAGCAAATCCTTCTTTGGTATCAATCCACATATAAGATTATTTACTGAATAGACACTGCATGTTTTCTTAAGATTCGTTATTATAGAAATTTCACCAAAGTAATCTCCTTGCTTAAGTTCATTGATAATCTTAAATTATGTCTCATCAATTTATTTGACACCTAACTTTTCACTATTTATGGTTTTATGGTTACTTAGTAAATCCTGTTAAGTCATATCAAGTGAATTATTCTCAGCTTAATTCGAATTTCCTGAAGAAAAGGATTTGATGAGTTTCCTCCTACAAATTTTTATGTATTTAGAAGTCATCTTAGTTTTAAATCTTTGAACTTATTTCTTTTGCATGCATTTTTAAATGAATTTCTTTAATTTTTTTAAACTTCCATCATTAAGTCCTTTGCTAGGAACGTAATCTCCAAGAAATTTCTAAGTATGCACATAATCAAAGTAGAGGAAATCTCTCTTCTCTGATCGTACCTCAGCAAGCCCATCTACTACTAAATAAAAATAATCTCCAATATCCCCTTATTTAGCAACAACATCACTTGGGAGGTAAAGCTAAATTTTCATTAGGTTGGCGAAATTTTCAATTTAATTTTAGTTATTCTTATCGAAGAGTCCCAAATTTCTTATTGCATCTTCAGTTTAGAAAAGCTTCACAATCTTTATCAAGTTTTCATTTAGCAAATCGTAGAATTATTCATTTCTCACATATTTCATGCTATTCTTTAGTTCATAGTAAGCTAATACACGATTCTAAGAGGTTTCTGGTATCTTTAGACTTGTCATGAGTTAGCATATCATATCTAATTCTTCATTTAGCTATTTGGCTTTCAACTAGAACTCACTTAAGATTGTCGAAAATTCTCCGATAATAGTACCAATAATTATTGAACCAATGAAGATTATAATTGAGACAACTCCAATCTCTAGTGAATTTGAGGGATTCATTTCATTGCCAACAAGAGCAAGAATTGCATAATAGAACACTTCTAGATATTACTGACCATAATTTGAATCAGTAAAGAGAATCTTAACATCCTTCATTCTATCCATCATTGGCACCCATGTGTCATTTAAACTTATAATATAATACCAAAAGCAAGCAATCCAGTGTAATACCATAATAAGCATAGCAAATAGCTAAATAATCTTCATGGCCTATTTGAAATTTTGATTCATCTTAAGAAAGGTAATTATTCTTCCGAGTCTCAAAAGCCTGACTAATTTAAACAAACTTATTAACTTTAAATTTGACTTAGAAAATTAGACAGATGAAGACAAAAGCTGAAATATCTCTTCAATCGGCAATGAAGCTAGTAAATCTATCACAAATCTGCCCTTTAAAAGGTAATTTAAAGCTATGAGCTTTCCATTAGTAATATAAATCTCATTTTTAGAATCATAATAAACAGACCTGAAATTTACCAAAATGTCAAAAGCGAAACATATATCAATTATATACTCAAAAGCCAAAAAGAAATCATTTTCACTTAATACATCTGGGAAGGCAAAGTTATAAGGAACTAATATTGAGTTATAAAGTGATAGGGTTATGATGAATAAATCCCATTTTATTTTAAAAGGAGATGATGGGTAAAATTTGAATTTTAGCCAGTATTCTTTCAGTTTTTATCTGAATTTCTTCTCCTCTAGCTATTCAATATTTATATTCGTTTTCACTGACATTCTTCTCTTAAATATGTCAGATTTGAGTTCATTCTCATCATCTATTAGAGGCTATATTTTATTTGAACTCCTTTCAGACTTAATATTTTCTCCAAATTCTTTATTATCTTCGTTCTCCTCTGGTATAGCAACAACACTATTGAGCTATTAGGAATTCCCCCAATTAAAAGAACTCTATCTTTACTTCATTTGATTCTTTCTTTATTGTAAACTACCACCAGTTGTGAGGGGGAGGATTGTGCTAAAATTCTTATCCTTTTTATTTTTCAATGAGAGTTTCTTTATTGGAGCTAGCAGTAGATCTTGAGATCTTATTTCACTACTAACGCTGCCAGAATCAGAGGGATGTCTATTCAAAGTGGTTAGTTCCTAATTATTGAGAGTTGATATTGGTGTCTCGATAGAATTCCCTTGAAAATTAGGCTCCATTACATTTATCGGAAGCAGTAATTATTAAGGACAGATATCACTTTTTCCACTTTTGAATGGATTATTCAGATTATCTTCCATATGTGCAAATTTAATTATAAAATTGAAACATTCATCATCATTTTAGATAAATGTTTATGGGGTTTTGGGGTTTTGGGGTTTTGGGG